ATACTGTACTGTTCATCCACCGAGTTTTTTCGGCTCCACCAAGCTTAATTTTAGGTACACACGCATCAACTGCAGACATAACCGTGTCCTTGAGAAGTGACCATGACTCAGCCACATTCATGTGAATGTGGCTGAGTTTATGATGATAGTTGATATAGTTTATGTGAATGTATTTAGGTGAATAATGTGAATTTAAGTTGCTTGTTTGCGGTTGTTTATGGCAATTTCAGCCTTTTTTATGATATCTGAAGCGTTTCAAATTGATCAGTGAGTTGCAGAATGCTACATAGCTAGTTAGAAATTTTCTGTACCTGCCTATATTATAAGCGCCCCAATGGGCTCCTCAATGTTAACGCGATAGCGCGACAGGACCTGTATCCTGATGCTGACGATGCTTGTTTTTCAGAGCATTTTTCAATTATGTAAAAAATGCACTCTTGCGCTCGCCATGTTTGTCTGTCCGTCCGTCCGTGACTTCACGTTTTCGTCGACGAGAAAATGCGCTCTCTGTCACTCACTGCAGTGAGTATCGAGTTATATTTTTTTAGGTACGCTTGTATATCTGCTTTTGGTTGCTGACCACGTCACCTCCGTAGCCACATTTGTGTCTCTAGTTACACTAAATAGTGTGGATTAAGCACGACGTATCTGCGTAAGTTCAGTGTGGCTGTTTCGCCACGACGTCACATTTCACGGCCACTTGTTGTTGTTGTAATAGCCCATCCTGGCGGTGGCGACTAGGGAGGGGGGGTGATAGGTCAGTTTTTCCGGGCACTCGGTGCCACTGGTAGTTCCGCGACCATCGCTGGCTCGCTGACCCGCCAGAACCATTTGATTGCATTACACAACTCCCTGGACAAGCCAGGTACTCATTTATCAACCAGAGTTGGATGAATGGCTGATTTGACCATGAGCTGAGCTTCCCTGTAGAACTTGTCCTCAGTGGGACTCGAACTCGGGCGCTGGGTGCGAGAGACAGAGTCTCTCACCACTGCACCACACAGCAACCAAGTGGCCTCACGGCCACTTCGATCCTTAAGCTTCTCATCTTTGCTTGAGTTGAATTGGAGCACGTATGCGTGTGTGACGGGACACAATTTTTGTAAACAATTTTTTGAAGAACATTGTTTAACTTCTGATTAAACTCGAGGGATTTAGCTTATGCATGACAAGATAATGGTTGAATGCATTTATTTTATAACTAGAATATGGAGTCTCATTTTACTGTGTTATTATTTTGTAAATTCAGGGGATTTAATTATTATTATTAAAACAGCAAATGATTGAAATTTCGTCAAAATAAAGAATTATTCAAGAAGCATGGAATTCAATGGTTAGCTCCTGAGGATTAAAAAATTATATGAAGGCACACGCAAAAAAACAGGTAGCCCTTCATCCGAAACTTTCTTCACAAATTTGTGCATTGTAGCCCAATTAGAAAATATATAATTAGTTGTTTCAATGTTGTTTTAATATGTCGAAGATCCAAGATATTTGGTCACCCATACCTACAAATACTTTTTATTTAATTTTACTCTAGTATTAAGGCCGTCGGGTTTGGCGACATGCCTTTACGTTGTGTATAAGCGTGTACTAATGGAATAGGCAAACATTCCTTAGGGATACATCCTTGAGGTCTATAAGATCGCATGAGGTTTCGGATATATTTATGTACTCGTTGAAGTTATGTTTTCTCGACAGGATACCGGGACTCGTTCTGTACAAAAGATACAGGGATGACATCCTGATCCCAAGTGAAGCAAGTGAAAATGAATTTCACTCATTCCTCGAGTAGATGAATTCAATCTATGAGCCAATCAAATCCACCATGGAGATTAGCAGCCAGGAGCTGAATTTTTGGACCTCACGATATATAAGGGTGAAAACTTTGAGAAGAAGGGCAAACTTAATACAAAAAACCTACATTATATGATCATATCCGAAACCTCAGGCGAGCCTTTGGACCCCAAGGATGTATCCCTGAAGAATGTTGGCCTATTCCTAAAGGACCCTTTAATGCAAACGTAAAAGCATATCGGCAAACCCTATGGCCTTAATACTAGAGTTAAAGCAAATAACAAGTGTTTCAAGGTATGGGTGACCAAATATATAGGATCTTCGACGCCAAAAAAACAAAATAAAACAACTAAATATATATCATTTTTATTGGGTTATAATGCTTAAATTTGCGAAGAAAGTTTCGGATGAACGGCTACCTGTTTTTTGGCGTGTGCCTTCTTATAATAATACATATGTATATTAGCTGATAGTATTCATACATTAGCTTTGAACCTCTGTAACGCAAATGAATGAACGTGTATAACCAATAATCTAATACAGAAGCCAATTATAACATGAGAAAAATAAACTATCATGATCTAACATCATCCAACATTAGTGAATATTTAAATGAGTTGAAATCATTTCTCTGCAATGAAAAAACTGGCAGTGGTATTTTAACATTATATTGAGAACATTCCCACGGCCAGACGTGCATTATAAATAACCATATAATGTTCAGCCTGAACAAGTTTCCAACTGTTCTTTCAGAGACAAACACATATACTCTTTCTGCGGTCCGCGGTCCACGTACCAAGATGGAAGAAGGCTTAAGGGAGGGGTATACCCTAAAATTTTCGGATTTGGCTTTTTCGGCTTTTAGTCTCATCTTAAAGCTGACATTCTGCCCTATCCAACGGTACCACTGTTATCTCTGTACTTTGATTTATGCTTTCACGACATTTCATGAAAGGTGGGCTGGTGGAGGAGTTCTTTCAGTAATTAGATAGGAACTAATTAGCTGCTGAGCTCTTTAAATATAGCGTCTACTTGAGTTGTGCTGCAGTTACGTGTTTAGTCTCATCTTAAAGCTGACATTCTTCCCTATCCAACGTTACCATTACCATCTCTGTACGTTGATTTATGCGTTCACGACACTTCCTGAAAGGGGGACGGAAGAGGAGTTCTTTCAGTATTACATAGGAGCTAATTCGCTGCCCAGCACTACAAATACAGTGTTTTTATGAGGTGTAGCTCAGTGTGCCTCCGGGCGTTGTACGGGGAGGTGCGCATGTAGTCGCTCCCACCTTATTAATTTGTTCCATTTTATGTGTGGTGTTATGCGTGTTTAATTGTTAGATTGTTTTATGTTCTTCCATGCATGCAACTTTGCAGGTCGGCCAGTCTGGGACTAGTTTCAGATGAGTGATGGGCCAATTTGGGGGTCAGTTTGGGCCAGTTCGAGATATCCTCCAGACGCCGACGAGTTGCATGGCATTCCTATGGGGAACATAAGCTGAGCTCTGGCCGGTACATAGGACTCTGTTGTACTGGGGTCATACTTTCAAAACTCGCTAAGTGAACGTAAGTACTTACGCTCCATTTTCTTGTCTACGATTGGTGGATTTTGCTTGAAAGGCCGTCAATAATTGGCTGATGAACTTACGATCTCCTAAATTTTTTTGAAAGTATGGGCCCTGGTCAGTAAAGGGCCGTAACTGGTCAGTCCAGGGGTAAAAGTATGGGCCGTAACTGCGCTAACGTGCCATTTGAGTCAGCCCCAGTGCTCCTCACAAGTAAGGCCGCCGCCTTCCTATTTCCTCTTCATTACGGACGTTCCCTGTTGGACACGACCAGGCCTGACCCAAGACCAAATTTTATGAGCTTGATTTTATGCATGTTTACAGTTATCCTTGTTTATTTTGTTCTGTTCAATAAAGTTTGGGCTACTGGTTATTTTGTGTTCTCATGCTAGGTTCACCCTATCACTCATAGCCCTGGGCGGTCTCATTTTTAATCACCTACTAACGTTTTTTTTCTTCTATGTATCATTGATTTTTATTTAAAATATTTTTGCTTGATTCTTTCCTATTTGTTCTCTTGAGTTCTGTTTTGCTTCGTTTCACGTGCTTATATTATACCGGCTGGACCGTCGACCTTTAGCAAGGCTGACCCCAACATTTGTTACCCAGTCCCGAGACCATATGTTGACCCCTGGCCCCCAACAATATGCAGAAGTATATATCAACAATATGCAGAAGAAGACCAAGGTAAAAGCTACATTCTGAAGGTGATGGATACTCTCTTTGAACATGCATGGGCAGTTCATATACGCAGAAAGACTGCTGAGGAGATGGAAATTCCTTTCCATAAGCTCTTCACTGAATGGAACCTCTCTAAAATTCAAACAGGAAATGATTGAAATTTCTTAATGAGCCAAATAAAGAATTATTCAAGAAGCATGAAATCCAAGGGTTTGCTGCCGGGGATGAAACTAAACCGCAAGTTGTTGAAAGAGTAGACCAAAAACTAAAGACAGAAATGCTGAAATATTTCACTTGCGCAAAGACATGTAGGTGGTACGATAAAATCCAGCTTTAATTGATAATTAAAAAAATAGTATCATATATCAATAAAATGGCTTCTCATGAAGCTTCATTCAAGCAGAAAAACAATCTATACGGATTTATCCCCGTAGTCTAAAAAACGGTGTAAAAATAATTTAGGATTTGAGATTGAGTTAGAATTAGTAGTAAACGGAATGACTTTATTAGAAGATAACTGCCTAATTTGACACGCGAGTTGTGTACTATCTTTGATATATTAGAGACAAAACCAGTAATTTACAGGTTGAATGATTAATCGCTGACGAAGTATGAATTATAACAATATTGCAGCAATGTTCATGAAATTGAAAAAAAATAGATTACGAAGTAAGGAAAATTATAGTTTAAGTACACCTGATATGGTGTTTCATAGCGGAAATCAGAAGTTAAACACACATAAAGTTAAACAAAAATTCAATTAAACATACATCCATTTGAATAAACATAAAGTTCTATGTACCCAAAAACTGAAATTGAGGTGTATTTAATTTTTAACTGGATTATCCACAATGTAATTTATGGAGTCAAGCATGACTTAATTCAAAGACGATGTAACGTTGCTAACGCCCCGTCCGTGGCTAGTTGTAAAGATCCAAATGATCTAGAAAAAGTTATTGAGTCGAGATTACTTTCAAACGGCTAATTTGGAGAATGCCAGCATATAAACTTCCCGATGAATATAAGAGTAAATTGTATCGCCATAAACAGAATAAAATTATACAATCAATTTCATACATCAATCGAAAATTAAAATAAACAATTATTATCCCTAATCGAAAATTCTCAGATTGGACTTTGGTACCAAGATCAGGAACTCGTAGACCACGTTATGTCATCTCAACATTTCAAACTGCGAGAGATAATTTACAGATTTTAAATACACTTACTGAGCACTGAGATTAAAAAATGAATTTTTTCGACTGAATGAAGGGTATCCTAAGTAAAACTTGAGTTAGAACTGACGATAAAGCTGGTTTCTGAAACGTCTGCTCCTTAGAGAAACACTGAATTTTCGGGCTATTTTATTAGCTCTAAAATTCTTGAGAAGTAGTCAGTGAGATTATATTGATAGATATATGCCCTCTGCACAGCTTCAAGAAATGTGTGATAAAATTCATAAAATTAGCCATACTTTTTTTGTTGATCAATAAGGACGAGCACCTCTGCTGTAAGAAGTATTTTAAAAAATTCAAATCAATCATGCGGTGGAAGTAACTCAGGTAATGCTTGCTCTGGTTAATTCATGCCGATTAGCTCGGTAACGGTGCTGGATTGGAAGTGCAACAAATCTGGTCAATTGGGCGGACAGATTGTGGGTAGTATGCTGGTGAGTGCAATTCCTATGCTACACATGCATGGAAATTTATATGAATAACCTGGGGCAGCAAGTATATATTTCCTCTTATTCAAGCTTGATACAAAAAAAATTCGCGGAAAAATCCGCAAAATTCTGTTTCCTTGAGCGATTGAAATATGATGGCGAAAAGTGCCCTTATTGATACTATTTAATTTCGGATTTTTTAGCGTCCCTCCCGTGAATCATCACAATAATGATTCACCGTCTTATTCCGAGTACGCAGTTCCCTACACTGCATGAGCCTGACCTCAATGTTGTACGTGCGTTCAGGTTGTAGTTCCTTGATGGTGTGGCAGAAGTGGGCTGCGCTGTCGCTGCACTCCGACGCTTGGACGTAGTGAATGGTTGTAGCCTCCTTGACGCGGTAGCCCCTGATGGCGGCCATGGGAGGACAAGGTTTCCTCCACCGCAGGCTGATGGAAGTGGACGTCGTGGAAGAGGTCAACTCCTCCACAGGCCCAGGAGCTGATGATAAACATGGTATGTTTGAAATAAAAAAGGTGTCATGAAATTTTGAGCGCAGTTTTGCGCTCAAAAAAAAGGGAAGTGCTTTTTTGCGCTCATTTGCTTCCCCTTCAAAAATTACATTCTTACCTGAGATAAGTAGGTAATATATTTAATAGACTTGTATGCAGTAAATGATTCCGGTGTCATCTTCATTTGTGACTTATATATAGGTAATGGATATGGAGTTTTAATTATAGCAGTAAAGAGAGGCAGTCTCCCTCACCTCTGTCTGGCAGAGTCTCGAACACTTCGCACTGCTTGCTGTCTCCGCCCTCGTTGTAGGCGTACACGCACACCCCGTACTCAGTGTACGCCTGCAGCTGCGTCAGCTCCAGTTTAGCCGTGCTTAATTTGTGGAAATGTTGAACGGCGTCGGTTTTCTTTGGGGCACAATCTTCTCTTGATTTCATCTACGTGAAGTACGCATAAATTATGAACATTGAAACATGTAACAGTTCTTAAAATCCCTGAAATAGCTGGTAGTTTTTCACAAAAAATGAAAATCTGAGGATATACGATATTCACGACTAAACATTCACGATATAAGACCAAATTTTCATAATACAAGTATTCTGAATTTGTCCTTTCCTTACTTGCATATTTTTCTATCCTAAACAACGATCACAAGTCTCATAACTGAATTATTCCAATCTTATTTGGTAATACTTACTGCCAGAGTTACGTTGAAAAATTGCTCAGTCCGCCACGTCCAAGAAACGCTGGCGGAGGTCGCGGCCGGCGTGACAGTCAAGCGGGGGACGTCGGCTGCCGGGGGTAAAATTGCAGTTAATGTGGCGTTGGCACCGGGGAAACGCGGGAATATCCACCGCACTCACGTTCTTAGGCCAGAGCAATTTCAGGAGCCGCCATTATAAACGCACTATCACCATGGCTGAGTCTAGTATTTTGAATATCCTTATATTAGGAAAAATCAATATTATTTATTAGGAACTATGTAGGTACATTAATAATCATGATAATATAAAGTAGGTTCTGAATAGAATTATTAGTTCACTTTTCTTGCCCTGTAATGGAGAACTAGCTCAAGGCTACAGTTCTCATGAGCGAGGCTGTGAAGGCATGAATCATTCTAAACCCACTTTTATTAAAAACTATTTCCGTATTTATTCATGTTAATATTATTTTTTGTTTCTGCTACACTTTCTAATTTTCAAATCATTCATTTAATCAATGCATCATGACTATAACTGAGTCTGATGAATCGAAAGTTTGATATGAGTCATCATCTGAATGACGAAAGTGAACGCCAGTGAACAGAGGCAGTCATTTGATCAGTATTAATTAAACTAGTGATATGATTTCCTCGTGTTCATATCCAACTGTCATAAAAAATTATTATTGAAAATGATTCTATTTAAAAACTTGATTTGTATTCAACCGATCAAACTGCAGTCATGCGCAGGCACGAAGCGGTCGAAATGGCGCATGCCGATGACAGAGATTGCCGAAACCTTCTGATGGGGATTTTTTATTCAATTGTGACGTTATGTTTTGCTTGCTTAATTATTCAACAGATGTAACTATAAAACGGAAAAATAAGGCAAATAAGTAAAAAAGCAAGACCTAACATGTAATTAAACTCAAGTCAATGTAGTCCATACTACGGACAATAGAATGGCCAGATTTAATCAATCATTTAAAGTTGTGCATCGTCGAATCGAAACACCACTTCCGAACACAGAATATATATATAATATTAGCAGACGACAGTACTTAAATACCAGTCAGACGACACCCACATAAATAAGGAGCAAAGCATATACAACATGCCACCTAACAGATACTGATTGATAATTAAATTTAACGTAAATGGCCCATCAAAACTAACACTAATAAATTCAAATCATCCACATCACAGGTGTATACTATCAGAAATATTCTTTAACAACACTCACTACACTTGCACAAACAAAGGAACTGTCTCAGGATAAAACTTCATATCATACGGTTTTAGATCCTAGAAAACCGCAAGCAAACACGTATAGAACGTAGTTTGAGGGCGAATTAATAAATAACTAGAGCAAAGAATTTAATGGAAAGTTAGGGGATAAGTGTTGAGAAAGTTAGGAATGTGAGTTGAAGCTATGTAGTGTGTTTAACAAGTGTTTGTTTCGAGACGGTGAGACCGAGTTTGTTCACATAGAACAATGGCGAGCTTATCGCGAGGTATTTTCCATGAATCCGGTTCGAGGCTTAGGGCAAACTGTGCGCGGTTGCTACGAAAGCAAAGGAACAAAATTACACGCCAGAGATGATCTTCTGAAGTCACGGTAACGCAAGCACACTCTGCAGTAGAAACACATAAGCATTGCCTTCGGCAAATATATTCTTTTTGTGTATCCTTATATGGTACTTCCTCGTGCATATATACGGACAACATTAGGTTAATAGTGGAAGTGCGTATAAATGCGACTAGAGTTGGGAGGGAATTTAGTCAGACAGAATGTCAGAAGAGTTACACACGTGGCCGGTTAGCACAGCCGCGCTCGTCGCTGCGGTCGTCGAATAAGCGGCAGTCGATGGCTCCGTCGCACCGCCGCGTCTCGTTAATGCAGTGGCCGGTGAAGGCGCACTCGAACTCATCAGAGCGGCACAGGCCTGCAATCACAAGTAATTCGGTAGGTTATGTTAAGACCATAATTGAGATGTGAACACGGAAAATAAATCTTTGGAGATCACGAAATAATCTTTTGTTATACCGACACGCATTTTATGCTATGTTATCAATCTTCCTTACTATATACTGCTTCTTCCGGATGATCAGCTTAATTATGTTCTATAATCAGGGTTTCTAAAACAATCAAGAAATGGTCTTGGATTTGCAATACCTGATGTAAAATTAATGCTCATTCTATTATTTCAACGGAATTTACTGCGCATGTAGCACACGTAGTCAATTGTTCTGAGCGATAACTGATGACCATTGTTCTAAGCGACAACTGATAATAGGCTAATAGTTTATATTATAGATAGTTTAAAATATCATTGTAACAAATGATAATACCAATGAGCGATAATTGATTACAGTTGGGTGATCCAGGAAGGGGAAATCCAAGGATAAATGACCCCTGGAGGGGTGATTCATGGAGGAGTGATCCAGGGAGGGGTGATCTATGGAAGAGTGATCCAGGGAGGGGTGATCCAGGAGGGGTGATCCAGGGAGGGGTGATCCATGGAAGAGTGATCCAGGGAGGGGTGATCCATGGAGGGGTGATCCAGGGAGGGGTGATCCAGGGAGATGTGATCCAGGGAGGGTGATCAAGGGAGGGAGATCCAGGGAGTGATGATCCAGAAAGGGTGATCCAGGGAGGGGAGATCTAGGGACGGGTAAGAAGAAGCAGAATACCCCTCCCTGGACCATTTCACCAGGTGAAATGGTCCAGGGAGAGGTAATAAAGATAGTGATCGAGGGAGGGGTGATACAGAGAGGGTGTTCCAGGGAGGGGCGATCTAGGGAGGAATGATCCGGGGAGGAGCGATCCAGGGAGGTTGATCCAAGGAAGGGTGACCCAGGGGGGAGGGTCTATGAAAAAGTGATCCAAGTAGGGGTGACATAAGGAGTATGGTCCAGGGAGGAGTGATAAAGGGAGGGTAGATCCAGGGTGGAGTGATCCAGAAGGGGTGGTCCAGGGAAAGGTGGTACAGGGAAGGGTGATCCGGGGAGGGATGATCCAGGGTTGGGTGATAAAGGAATGGGTGATTCATGTAAAGTTGGAGGGGTGATATTGAGGAAAGGAGGGAGAGGGGACCCCTCTTCCCATGTAAGGGTGATTTTAACTCCCTTCGAAATGATTTTATTTTCGTCTATTGCTAGTTGTTGGTACTTAATGGTTCTTGCTGGTACTCACTAGTGCTTGCTGGTACTCGCTGGTGTTAGCGGCTACTTGCCCCATGTGTTATTTCTTATCATTTCCCCACAACGATCGTTGGTCGCGCAAGCAAATGTTTTATCTGACTTCTATGCCTATGTTGGGTTCTGAATTCTCACCGGGTGAGCACTTGCATGTAATATGAATATTAAACATCATATGGATAATTCACGTACTAAAAATATTTTGATCAAAATTGTTTTGATGATCCGGCAAAGAAAGAAGCAGCAGATCAATTGATCAAAAGCCGGATCCCAACTCCACATTGGCACGGATTATGATTATTTTCAATTGTAAACATTTCCTATGGATATGAAAATTATTCAAACTTAAGGGGACCGTACAAAGCAAAATTTTGGATTATGGCTTTTCTGGGTTTTTAGTCTCGTTTTAAAGCTGACATTCTGAGCTATCCAACGGTACCAAAACCATTTCTGTACGTTGATTTATGCATTCCCTACAGATCCCAAAATGGGGGCGGGTGTCCGGCCCCCTTCAGTAAAGTCAAGAGAGTAGTTACATGGCCTTTCACTATAAAGTAAATCGTCTGACGTAAAGCGGCCAATTATGACATTCTCCATTTACTATATTCATCTTAAAGCTGCTTTTCTGACGCATTCAACGGTACCAAAACCATCTTTGTACGTTGAGTTATGCGTTCAGTACAGATGCCAAAAGGGGGGTAGGGTTTGGAGTTCTTTCACTATTCCCTATGGAAGTAATTAGCTACCAAACACTTGAAATAGAGCGTCTACACGAAGTGCACCTCAGTTACCCAGCAGACAGCATACGGGGAGGTGTGCATGCAGTTGCTCCCACCATCCTTGAGTGGAATCGAGCTCCAGTAACGTTTATGCAGTCGCTCCCACCATCCTTGAGTGGAATCGAGCTCCAGTAACGTTTAGTTTCGTATCCTTGCTACATTTAGTGCCTTTTCGCATGCTCCCGCGACTTTTTCGTGTCCTAGTGAACATTCACACTTTTTGTCACGGAAAACTTTATAACTCCTAGAGTTTTTAAGCTACAGCAATGAGAAATACACCATTCGATTCGCAATTAAAATATCTAGAGATTGTCGGGCCATTTTTTTCGATTTCGTTATAGTTTTGAAAATATTCTGAAAAAGGGGGGGGGGAAATAGGGGTTATTTTCGATAAGTCGACATTTTTCAGAAAAATCATAATAAAAAGAGAACCAAGAAAAAAATTGAAAATGTGGCCCGATAATCGCTAGATATGGTCTTTACGCATCGAATGATACGTGTCTCGATGTTATAGCATGTGATTTGCATCAGTTAAAACTTTTTTTGAGTACCCGCTTTTTGGCCGTTTTCCATGAATTTCACGTTTTCTCACTTTTTTTTTCGAAAAATTCACACGAACAAAAAAGTCTTAGAATTCTGTTCTACATATGTGTACCAAGTTTGGAGACGATCCTTCCCTAAATATAGAAAATAGATTTTGCCGTGAAAGGTCCCTTAAATGAAACTTTAACTCACACTTATTCACCATAGGGACAAGGCATGCAGACTAACACGCGATATGAGTTTAAACATTAATGTGAGTTTTTGAAAGGATTCTCCCAGTGACTCGTGCTAAAGACTCATTGACCCACTAAGCCATCATAATAATTTAATACCTACGGCGACTCATGATGTGATGGCATACACACTTACTGACTCATTTTATCAGCTGAAGAATAATTCATTTATATTCATCGAGGAATAATTGAATAATTTTAATAATAAGATAAATAAATAATATTGAAATTAAAATAATATTAGAATTAAATAGTTTCAACAAACTCATTTCTAAATAAATATTTCAAGCAGAGTGATCATGATTCCTGAACGCGAGGCGAGGAAGAATGTGTAGAGGTAAGAATGTGATGTATGTGTTGTTTATAACATCGCATCAGAGGAGGTGGGAAAGTTTCAATATGCAATGGGTTCAGCGGGCCCAAAACTTCCTGTGGAAAGAAAATCTAGGCCCCAGAAGAGGTTAAATTCGACAACTCGACTTTAGTCATAGCATGCTTGCGAAACATTGAAAATAATTCGTTAGTGAAACCATATCCTTGAATGCAGGCGAGGAATAATTCATTTACATGCAAGTTAATAATTGAATGTTAATATCACAAACAGATCCTCATATTAACTCGAAACAAAAGCACGTAGAATTGCGCGGAAGCATTTGACTCACCAGGCAACTCACAGTAGCGCTCGTCTATGCCATCGTCACAGTCGTTGTATCCGTCGCATAGATGGGCATGATATATGCAGCGGCTGGTGTTGGCGCAGCTCAACATTTCTGGATGAACGTGGCATTCGCTGAGGAAGAACGCTGAAAAAATGCGATAAATAATTTTCAGATCCAAATTAAAAAATTTGCATGTATGTATTCATTTTTTTTGGCGTCACGGAGTAATTGTTCTTTTTCAATAATGCGTATGCAATGATGTTTTATTTTAATTAATTTTCATAATAAAATTGATTTATCTCAATGTTTTTGATTACGTTTAATTGCTATAATTGATTACGTAGAAACTAGTGAAGTAATAAGTGACCCCCGTGACGTAACTACACAAAGCGAGTGTGGTGAGCGTGAGTGTGATGAGCATGAGTGTGGTGAGCGCGAGTGTGGTGAGCGTGAGTGTGGTGAGCGTGAGTGTGTCTACAACCTTCTTTGAAGCAAAATTTATGAACTACACTGGCCTCTTTGAACTACACTGGACTCTTCATAATATAGTCCAATTACAAAGGTAGCCGAGGAGACTAAGAAGAATTTTATGAGGATGAGTTAGCTGCAAACCAGTCTCTGTCACTTCGATTAATTATTTATCGATTTGTGTAAAAAGTGATCATTGATGCCGTTTATGTGGTTCCGGTGTACATATGCCAGTTGAAGTCTTTTAGTTTTATAGTTACTTGCAGCATAGGTAACAGATGAAGGTCTATATCAGTAGCGTGGTTGATGCATAATTGACAAGCTTGAGCTATTCATGATTTTGTGAAAAGAATGAATCAACTACAAGTTGTGATGATCAAATCTTGCAATCGATATTTCACCTTAGACATTATAAAAGGCATCAGCGACTGACTATATAGCCTTCGCCAGTCCGATCTGATATCGCGTTTGTCGGTCTATCTAAAGCAATTTAATGTCTGAGGGCAAAACTTATGCAGGAAATGATTTAGAACTGAAGATATTAAAACATTTAAGGACATCACCCCAAAAGAACAGATAAAGATTGGTGTAGTGCGCGATGTCTCTGACCTGCTGGTTCTGTCGTGACGGCTGTCGCCATAGCAGCAGAACATGCGTGGTCGGCGTCAGCGGTGCAGCTTTGTACCTGCGAGTCATGAGACGTTTGTATTACCACAAATGAGCTGAATAATTTAGACATAAAGTCTATGCTATTATCATGCATGAATAAATGCACTGGCGATCACCCAATTAAGTAATTAATGTCAGGAGATTAACAACTTTCAAGTAGCATAGGAATTACGCATACCAGCACACTTGCTCCAATCTGCCATCCCAACTGACCGAACAAGTAACTGGAGACATTTTAAAATCGCGCAAAAATATGTAGACTCGATCGGTTCCGTAATGGCGTTTGTGGCTGCCGAACAATGTAGCTACGCGGCGCACATGCGCTGAACGGCGGCTGCAGTGCTGCGGCGGTCTAATTTAAAAAGGCACTTACTCTGAAAACCTGCCACGTATTGTGGAAAGGAAAAAGTATCCCGCAAAAATGTGATATCTGAGCATTCTAATTTGAGTTTCTCGTATTTTGTTAGTGGTCGATCGGAAAACTCGGTAAAAAATCTCAAAAACTTATTCAGTAGTCAGTACGAATCAATATCTCTGTCTTGACTGCTGGAAATATTTCACATACGCAAAGTGAAGAAAGTGGTACGATTATTTGCCAGATGTACGAGCAGGAAGATAGACGAACACTAAATGAACTGCAACCAATTATGTTTAGTGAACATATCTTCTGAAAAATGTATTATATGTATATATATATAGCTGAGAAAAACATTATCGTCTGTAAAAAGTATCGAAAGGAATCGCAAATACCCAAGTAAAACACCACCAACGCAAATTTTCAGTAGCGTTTCGACAGACATTGTTCAAATGGTACCTATATCGAGCAAAAAACAATGTACGTTATAATGTGTAAATCGATCTCCACTTTGATCCTGCTGATGTCGAATTAGACGATAGTTAATACCTAATAATTCTCGATTTTTTTGCCTCAAAATGACGCAATGGATGAGTCCTCACTTCCATGCGTATTTCCCATCGGGCAACAGCTTCCCGTCTCTCCTGGGGGACATGTTGTGTGGAGCTCTCACATGCGTTGGCTTTACGTGGGTGAGTGGAGTGACGGCGTGGCATTAATGCGGTGATGTTAGTTTAAGAACTTAGATGCAGTCAAGTCATTGCATGAACATGAGTCCAGTGCAAGCGATAAAAAGGCTGTTAAAATTTCACGACAATCACTTCAGACGTTTCTAAAATAAAATTAGTATTCATAAGTCCTGAAATTCAACTCGAAAGGGCTCCCAAATCTAGAAATTTATTCACTTTAAAGCAGTAAAAAGACTGTTAAAACTTCAGTTCAGCCGTTTTTAAAAAAGAATTAGTGTTTATAACTCCTGAAATTAAGCTCGGAAGTTCTCGCAAACCTAAAAATGTATTCACTTTAAAGCGTTTAACCGAGAACAGTTCAACCGAATCCAGAAATTCTTTTCTCTTACAATACATTCACAAATTCTATATTTTTGATAACAGACTACAATTTGTAAAAATATATTTTTTTTTCACATTCATGTAACTCGTTTCTTAATACTTCCGCTTAAATTGATGCAAAGAGATCATTTAATAGGCCTATCCAGGCCTGGTTTTCAATGCCGAAGATACTATACCATAAGAAATTTCTTGTTCACTATATCACCGGCTATGAAATTTGAGTTTCTATATATCATTTTCTGAAGCTTATATCCAAATTCATATCGCTTTATTTAGGACTTTTTTATATCATTTTCTGGTATACCTCTTTCAAATAAATTGTATCATAAAGCCAAAGTAAAACAGATTTTTTGTTTGTCGACAATTGAAATGCCAGATTTGTTGAGTGCGAAAAAGTAAGGTCTAATTTACATTTCTACCATTAAAAAATGTATATGGGATTCATATAATTCTCGGTAAACTTCTGGAATTTCTGCGGGGTCTGGGCATATGCTCCTAATCGACAGCGTCGGACGCTTCTGCCCAATGCCTTCTGATCTGGGCTTGATTTGCAGCCTCTGAGCAGCTTGTGGTTTCGGTAAAGTTGGCCAAGCCCACTCCTGGCACACTCTCGTGAGACTATAACGTCGGAAAAAGGATTCTGACCAGTCTTTGATAGCGGTCGGTTGGCCACGCAGACCCAGAATTACTTTAACCCAACCGTAGCGAGTCTTACGGAGAGGCCTGCACGGCTTAAAATTCTGTTTGGGATACCACAAACACAATTTTGCTCCCAGTTTTGTCAGTAGCACTATTATGTTTTCTATCCAAAAGTCAATATTGGCATACCTGAATTTTGCGCCGAAATGTCGTCATTCTTGATGACGTATGAACCATGTATACCCAATCTGCTTTTCATATTTAAAGCAGTTAATTGCGCTATCTAATCCGCTATCTAAAGAAACCAGTCTTCTTAATAATACACACGAAGCTTGAACACAGTGGAATGCACACACGGCGACGTACCGGTTTCGGGGCTTGTAAATTTTCAACTCTTAGTCTCCCCCACAAGCAACTCATAGTTACTATTTTTTTATTCGGTGTTTAGTGGGGCTTCGAAAACAAGTTAATATTAGCCCCAAGAGAGCAAATAGTGGCATGTGCAGAACTGCTTTGCTCAAATTCATCAGGAAGTTGTCACTGATTAGGGAGTTGTCTGAGCGTTGGCAGCACTTAAGGTCTTGAGAGCTTGAGTTTGGTTGGATTTCAAGAACGGGTGCCATCCACGCCAAGGAGAAGACCACGCCAAGGAGGAAGACCACGCCAAGGAGGAGACCACACCAAGTAGGAAGACCATGCCAAGGAGGAGACCACGCCAAGGTGGAAGATCGCGCCAGGGAGAAAGACCGCGCCAAGGAGGTGATCGCATCAGAACCAGGCCTGACAACTGGAGACCACCCACACCTGGGGGCATCACCCACACCTGGGTGCACCACCAACACTGGGGCACAAACCACACCTGGGAGCACCACCCACACCTGGGAGCACTAACCCCACCTGGAGGCACAAACTACACCTGGGGGCACCAATCACACCTGGAGGCACAAACTACACCTGGGGGCACCAACCACACATGGGTGCATCAGACACACTTGGGGACATCAGACACACTTGGGGGCACCAACCACACTTGGGGCACCAACCACACCTGGGGGTATCAACCACGCCTGGGTGCACCAGCCACACTGGGGGGCACCAACCACACCTGGGTGCACTAACCACACAAAAGGTTTTTTTGGCGTAGAAGTACCACCGCAGGCTGAACGTCTCGGAGCAGAACACCACCATCGCTAGTCGCCCATTCTTCCAATATTTCCCGCCATTACGTGTCAGCCGGCAGCTTTAAAGCACGAAGGAGCTCAGTACAACGCAGCTGTCACTGCGAAGGTTGGAACCTACGGGGAATGAGGATATCAACGGGCACGACCACCAGTCAAAGAATATAGTCCGCAATTTCAAGATCCAATGAATATTTTAATTGGTGAAAAAATTTATCTTGACTCTATGGATAATTAAAATATTTGTTTCGGGCCCCTGATGAATCTTATACTTTGAATCCACTACAATGTAAATTTATTTGATCAGTATATAAAATTGACACCGATTCATGTATGTAAAAACACAAATTATCAGAAGAATCACACTGAAAAACATGTCGATTTCCAACACAGTCAAGTGTTGTAATTATCTCACGTTACCCTATCGCGAATTGGTAAGTCGAATAAATAAAATAAATTTTTTAATGAAACGTAGAACTGATATCATCGTATATAGGAAAATGATTTATCAGCTGACTTTATCGTGATTATCAACAGTTATCTTTATATATTGTAATTCGACAAACTTCCAGGTCATTTATTCGTGTTATTTGTTAATATAGAAGGGCAGAGCAAAGTGAGTGAGTTAATACTCGATTCGAATGTACCCGCTTAAAGGACAATGACAGAAAATTGAAAGCATCGAGACCTGTAATATTTATTTATCTCAATAAAGCAACACACAAGGATATATACATGCAGAATGATTATACAGCGATATTCTAATCTCTCTTGACAAGCTGGCTTCTCAAGCTCGTTAAGTCAAGTT